GCAGCCCACTCAACCAGGGTGATGCACCCACATACTCTATGGGAATGCATCCCTTGGAGCAATCGACCATGGGGCACCAGAGGGAGGCAACATTCGCATGTAGGAAATGAAGGACACACAAGGAGTGCATAACTAGGAGGGGTACATTTAAAAATAAAAGGAATATCATACATAAAGAAAGTAGAAGGACATTCAAAAGAGAAGAAAAGAAGAAAATACCAACATGGATGTCGGAAGAGACTCTTAAACTTGCTCTTGAACAGAAGGTAGCTAAAGCAAATGGAAGAAATGACAAGAGCAAAAAGCTGAACTGAAGATTTCAAAGAGCAGTTCGAGAAGACAAGGTCAATTATTATCATGAAATATGCAAAGGCCTGGAATTAGAAAATCAAAAAGAAAGAACATGCTCAACATTTCTCAAGCTGAAAGAACTGAAGAAAAAATTCAAGTCTTGAGTTCCAATATTGAAAGATGGGGAGTGAAACTAAATGTACATGTAACACTGAATGTAAAACAAGCTCTTAAAATAAAAAATAAATAGATTGGAGCAAAATTAAAAAAAAAAAGGAGAAGAAGAAAATGGAAGGAATACACAGAGTCACTGTACCAAAAAGAACTGGTTGATGTTCATGTATTTCAGGAGGTGGCATATGATCAAGAACCAAATGGTATTGAGGGAACAAGTCAAAGCTGGACTGATGGAACTGGCAGAAAACAAGGCTCTAGGAATTGACAGAATATTCATTAAGATGTTTCAACAAATGGATCCTGTGCTGGAGGCACTTACTCATCTCTGCCAAGAAATGTGGAAGACAGCTACCTGACCAACTGACTGGAAGAGATCCATATTTGCACTCATTCCAAAGAAAGGTGACCCTACAGAATGTGGAAATTATCAAACAATATCATTAATATCACACGCAAGTAATATATTGATGAAGATAATTCAAAAACAATTGCAGCAGTATATTGATAGGGAACTTTCAGAAATGCAAGCTGGACTCAGAAGAAGATATAGAACAAGGGAAGTGATATCATTGCTGATTCAGATGGATCTTACCTGAAAGCAAAGATAGCAGAAAGGAACACTGTGTTTTATTATGTTTTATTGACTCTGTGGATCACAAAAATCGTGGATAAAATTGAGAAGAACGGGAATTCCAGAATACTTAATTGTGCTCATGAGGAACCTGTACATTGACCAGGAAGCTGCCATTCGAACCGAACAAGGGGATACTGCATGGTTTAAAATCAGGAAGGGTGTGTGTCAGGGTTGCTTTTCACCATACTTATTCAATCTGTATGCTGAACAAATAATCCAAGAAGCTGGACCACATGAAGAGGAACACAACACCAGGATAGGAAGAAGAATCATTAACTACCTGCGATATGCTGGCTGAAGTGAAGAGAACTTGAAACACTTACTAATGAAGATTAAAGACTACAGTCTGCAGTGTGGATTGCACTTCAACATAAAGAAAGTGAAAATCCTCACAACTGGACTTATAAGCAGCATCACAATAAATAGAGAAAAGATTGAAATTGTCAAAGATTTCGTATTCCTTGGTTCCACAATCAGCACCAATGGAAACAGCAGTCAAGAAATCAGATATTGTATTGCACTGGGGAAATCGCTGCAAAAGACCTGTTTAAAGTGCTTAAGAGAAAAGATGTCTCTTTGAAGACTAAGGTGCACCTAACCCAAGTCATGGTGTTTTCAATAGCCTCATATGCACGTTAAAGCTGGACAATGAATAAGGAAAACCAAAGAAGAGCTGATGCTTCTAAGTTGTAGTATTGCTAAAGAATACTGCAAGTACCCACACCTGTGGTTTCCAGCCAAACAAAGTACAGGCATGTGAGTTAAACATTTACCTCAAGTAGACACATGCCCTGGAGAGAACAATCATGGGAGAAGGAAGGGCTGCTTATGCACAGGGAGACAGCTCAGGGGGCAAAGGAGTATGAAGGGATGGACACTGGGAAGAGGTAACTATGGGGAGGGAGTGGGAGGGGAGCTGTTGCATTGTGGTAAACTGTGGTCAATGACATGCGACAAAGTATATGTGAACTGCTGTATGGAAAGTGAATTTGCTCTGTAAATCTTCACCCAAACCACAATAAAAAAAAAAAAAAAAAAAGAATACTGCAAGTACCATGGACTGCCAGAAGAACTAACAAATCTATCCTGGAAGAAGTACAGCCAGAATGCTCCTTGGAAGCAAGAACGGCTGGACTTCATCTCATCTACTTTGATCATGTTGTCAAAAGGGACCATTCCCTGAAGAAGGGTATCATGCTTAGTGAAGTGGAAGGTCAGCGAAAAAGGTGAAGGCTCTCAATGAGATGGATTGACACAATGGGTACAACTATGAGCTCAGGTATAGCAAGGACTGTGAGACTGGATGCAGGACTGGGCAGTGTTTTGTTCTGTTGTACATAGGGTCACTGTGGGTGGGAGCTCACTGGATGGTACCTAATAACAACAACAAGAAAGGCATACTCACAACTAGCCAAAATTCAAATTATGAGGAGTTGTCTATACCCAAACAAGTTATTATAGAGGCTAACCATAAAGTATTTGGAAAGAAGGTGAAAAAAATGGCACAGAATTGACAGTCTGGCAGTGTCTTACAAAGCTAAACATAGGCTACACATACAATCCACCATGGCATTACTAGGTATTTATCAAAATAAGTTGAAACTTATGTCCACATAAAAACCTGCATGTGAATGTTTATAACAGCTTTATCCATAATGGTGTAATAGCCCTGGTTGCACAATGGTTACTTGCTCT